AGAGCTACAGAAACGATGATCCACCTACACTCGCATATACACATCTCTAAATAAATATTTAATTTTGGTTTCATGGTGCCCCCCCAGGCATCAAGGTTCTGGATCCGCCCCTGTCGGGAACTTCTTTGTGACACGATGGACATATTGCACAATGAAACGAACCGAGGAGTCAATTCTTTGACCATCGATGGCCATACATATCGGCAGCCGGTTCAGTGTCCTCAGTGTCCTGAAATCGTTTCATTCGCATTACAGTGAACAGTTCTATTCGCACCACCCTAACATATATGTCTTTATGGATGTCATCAAGAAAATACAGGCCGTTACTAACTCTTGAAATGCCCGCCTCTGTACGCCAGCCAGAGAAAGAAAAGATGGACTTCGTTGTTGGCAAGTACAACAGGTATAGAAGAGATGAAATTACAAGGAAGGAATACGATAGATGTGTAGCATATAAATACTCGGCAAGAACAGATTTATAATTAATTATATATCGTTTTTATGGGTTTTAATGTGTGCTTTTGAATGCTGTAAATAGATTTTTACTCCGTGATATTAGTGGCTGTAAGCAGAGAGCTTTTATCTTTAAAATTGACTTATCCTGCTCGAAACCTACTTCCACCTCCCCGTGGTGAGCAGGGGACAACAGTTATATTAGACAATTCATAACATATGTACAACTGGCTAACGGAAGTGGTTTATAATGATAAATAAAAAATAACATTCACCTGTAATTTACCTGTACACAATTGGCGCAAATGAAAGAAAATCGGCGCAAGTGAAAAAAAAGTGAAATGCAGATCGGCGCAAATGCAAAACGCCGCATCTTGGTAAAGTTTTAAGGCATGGTAGGAACTAGATAACTGTAATTACTACATTTCACATGCATTTTATATTTCAGAAAATTTATAACTTACTTTGATTTTGAGATTCCTTTTTTTTTTTCGTTTCCACAAGAGTGCCAGAACAAACAAACTCCTGAATTTCATTTGATACGGCCCACTCAATTACACTGTAAAAATCGACTATTTGTTTTGCAGGTATCTATTGTCCATCTATTGTCCAATGTCAATTTAAACAACTCACTTATATTATTACATAGGAGAACATCTCAAACATTTTCCCAAACTTAGTTTATGTTGGCATCTTTTATGGGAACGGAAAAAAAAAGGGAATCTTAAAACCCATAAAAGTTTATAAATTTCTGAAATATAAAATGCATTTGAAATGTAATTATCTAGTTTCTGCCATGTATTAAAACTTTACCAGGTGCTCATGTTTGTCTGTACTCAGAATAAAATTTGTGATGTAAATATGGCCATATTTGACAAAAAGTTATGATGAACCTTAATTTCAATTTGAAATTGCAAAACAAACAACAATTACCTTGTTTTTTTAAGAACATTTAACATAGTAAAATAATGTGGGACAATCAGAACTTTTGACGTGGGACAATCAGAACCAGGGGAGATCTCAGGTGCATGCTCATCATCTTTTTCTTTGAAACAATTTGGCTAATCGAGACAAAACTAAGCTACAACCAACCTAGGAGTATCTAGTCAAAGAAAATGTCTCCAAACTCATTAAAAATACCAGGTTTATAATTTGGTACGCCAGACGCGCGTTTCGTCTATATAAGATTCATAAGTGACGCTCGAATCAACACATTTGGCAGGCCCATAGATATACGGCCAAATCAAATACGAAGTTGAAGAGCATTTAAAACTGAAAATTCCAAAAAGTTGTGCCAAATACGGCATAGGCAATCACAGAGACTGTGGCCCTCTCTCTACACGAGACATAGGATTGAACGTCCTAAATCCGACCGGATGTGGCTGCGTATGTACACATTTTACATAGCCAAATGGACGACTTACTTTAGCAGTGTGACTTATCTTGAAACGGTTATATAAAATAGAAGTACATTAAGGAACAGTTTTAGGCCCTTTGATGTTCCTTCTGTACATGGATAATTTAGCAAATGAAATTAAGTGGAAGTTACGCCCATTTACGGTTCAGTTCATCAACACACTCAATAGGATATATAAAGAGATGTGCTAGGATTGGTAACTATCACCCAAAGACGAGGATGTAAGCATAAAAAGAATGTACACATATCTCGACGCAGACCACACGCACTTGTCTCTGAAAAAAGAATAAATAACGGCGGTCAAGCATTGCGATCGGATCGTGAAAGATCTGGTATCGGATCGTGAATGCATTTAAGTGTAATTCTACTTCAACATTTGTGAAAAATCTGCTGTATTTTCAAAAGGTGGAACAAATCAGAAAAAGAAAATATGTCTGTCACAATGATTCAATTTCCTTAAAAATACTGTGCACTAAGTTAAAGAAAAAGAAAAAAATGCAGTACTTTTTAGGAAAACACAAAAGGCGACATACAATCCTATGAGAATCATCAAGAAAAAATCACGTTTTGTATCTATAATGGTCACATTCCAATATATCACGATATATTTGAAACTTGATCTTTATTGTCCAGTAAAATAACAGTATGTTATTACTTGAAAAAGTTCATATTATTTTTGAAAAAGTATATTATTGTTGATTTTAAATCAAAACTGCATGATCATGAAAGATCATTCAACGCATTATTTTGATCGTGAAAGACAAGGCGTGACCAGACTTAATGATCAGAAAACAGCATTTCTTATATCAATTGACATTCTTGTAATTGGTTGAAGCGTGTAATTACTTACCAAGAACGTAAATTAATGCTATAATTTTGGTGATATATATATATATATATCTTGTGATCCGTTTATTTGGCAATCGCCAATGGCAGTCAGCAGGGTTTAAGAACATCAGTTGTTCGACCTGCTAGTCAAATGCGTTTTGTTAAAATATACTTTTTCACTCATTTGGTCTTTTGGAAAATGTTGCTTGTGGTGTATTTAGGCCCCTCTACCAAGAAATTTGTTTTGCATGCACACGTATAAAAATTCTTTAGCAGCGATTTACCAACTTCATCCGCGTATGGAGTATACATTTCTCAATTTATACCCTTGTATTTATATTTTACTTTTTTTGTATTTTATCGGGAAAATGTATATGTCATTATGTAAAGAGCCCCTTAAGTGCCAAGTAAAAAGAAATATTTTAGTTTGAAAAATCGAGCGCACGACATTTGAAAACTGGGAGGCACAACTTTCAAACTGGAGAGCACGACTTTCAAACTGGTGTTCACGTCTTTCAAACTAGTGCGCACGAGTTTCAAAGTCGTGATCACCAGTTCTGGAAAATCGTGCTTACCATTTTGAAAGTCGTGCGCACCATTTTTGAAAGTCGTGAGCACCATTTTGAAAGTCGTGCGCGCCAGTTCGAAAGTTATGTGCATAAGTTTGAAAGTCGTGCGCACGAGTTTTAAAATGGTGCAAACAAGTTTGAAAGTCGAATGCACGATTTTTCAAACTAGTGCGCACCAGATTAAACTCTCCGACAAAAGAAAATATCTATATTCACATGACACTTAAGGGGCTCCGTAACTATGCTTTACTATACTGTCTGTATTATCAACTACATGTACAAAAACTTTTTTGTTAGCGTCTTTGTTTGATTTAATTGTAAGAGTGTAATCCTGCTGTTATTTTGAAACAATGTTTTTTTCGAATTTTTACAAAAATCAACAAGGATTTTCGTTTTATAAATATGCCTGTGCATAAAAAATAATGGAAATCAGATAAGACAATCTTAACTTTTAATACGAAATAAAACTTATGCAGGACGGACAGACGGACTTATATTCTTATAAGAAAACTAGTCGGGGTGGTATTATCAAATAATCAGCTCCAATGACATTGAACCATCACAATTCACAAACAAAAGTGAAGCAGAATAAGTCATGCAAATCCAATCTTTTGATATACCAATTACAAATATAAATTATCATTTGTCCAAAGAAAGATTTTATCGTTTTCATGATTTTTTTTTTGGCAATAACGAATAAGCGGCAACAGATCTTTTACGATCCTTTTCACGATCATCAAAATGCGGTACTCGATCTTTCACGATCCGAAATATCATTATTTTACAAATATTACCGTTTTTGCAAAGTTTCTGATTAAACTAAATCAAAATAATTTTAAGAACTATTTAAATAGTGATATTGAACGATATTTTTAAGAGAAAAGAAGTTTAAGTATTAAAAATTTGAAAAAAAAATCATGTTTGTTTACATTTTTATTTCTCTGAAATTTCGAAGAGCAATCTGCCTTTTGTAGTTTTGTAAAAACGGTGTACTTTTAAGTCTTGATTTTTTTTTCGGATACTGATCATAATGTTGAACCATTTTGACAGACAGTTTTATTTTTCCAATATTTGTCATTATAATTGATTAAATTGGATTATTTAATGATGTAGCATGCGTCTTCTCGATAAGATTTCCTTCACGATCCTATACCAGATCTTTCACGATCCAATCGCAATACTTGACCACCGTTACTTATTCTTTCACAATCATTTTTCTCGATATACCGAATGACAGCCGTGTAATATAACACAGGCACTTTTCTCTAAAAGATACCTCTATACTTTACTATAACTTTTTTTAGAGACAAGTGCGTGTGACGTAGGCAATGAATATCATGTTGAGTTACCTTACCATGTCATTTGCAATAGAGACACAACCTAAAATATTGCTGGTAGCATTGTCAAAGTGACTTCTGTAAAGATAAGCAAGATCATGTTAAACTTGTTTTGTGTTATATAAGAAAAACAGAAAGATATCAATAATAGCAAGTATATATCTGGTGCAAGTTGTATTTAAAAAAACAACAAAAAACAAGTGACTCCTGGCTCTTTTGCTTTGCCAAATATTCAAGCTAAATCAATTTTTTTTTAAATCATAGTCTATGTTAAAAAGCTTATACGAAATCAGATTGACTGTGGTAATTCTACCCAAAAGATGTAACATTTGTTAGATCTGATTCAATCCAACTGATAATTTAGGTGATCTCGATTGTGAATTATTTCTGGAAATGAAAAAATCGGTTCCCGCCAAATAAACACGTGCAGTTAGAATAGAAAATTTAAGTTGCCGAGAGTTGCAACTAAACTGATTTTGGACACAGGACAAGTCACAGGTAGGACCTAAAGGTAACACTATCTTATTCCTTATCGGTTTAGGAATAACATTAGTTCCAATGGAAGAAACATTACAGAATTGTTCCCTACGGGCAAAGGGATAATGAATATATTTGTTTAAACAGTAACAAATTTAAAAGCATTGATTACAACAAAGTCTCCAGTGAATTGTCTATACGGAAGAAATATACGTTGACGATAAAATAATTATAGAAAATTTTACTGATAATCTAAGCTTTTCGGTTGACCAGAGCCTTAATGAAAATAATCATATAATAACGAGGCCCTTTTTTCCGGACACATTGCATTTTCATTCACATACAACAGGGAATTTTCTACAGAACAGCATTATTTTATCTGAAAAAAATCGACTGTGGTGGTGTAGTATTTAGTAGGACAAGTTATTTTTAAATGACCACACTGTCCCGTAGGCAAGTCCTTGTTAAATAAGTGACGAATTTCATTTAGCATTTTGAAAATTTAAAACATGGAATCGCTCAAATGCATCTTTTCATGAAAACTTCCATATTTATTGCAAGTTCAATTTGGGTTAAGTTCAAATAAACCGTATAAGTAAACGCTTTTATTATATATTTACATAAAGAAATACTAATATTTAATTGTTTTCCCGCCTAAATGGCATAAAAAAACGCAATCCTGAAAATTGAGCAAATAACATACGCCTATGGTATTTGCACGACAAAATAGCTATATAAAAAACCATTTTTACAGTTATGAGAACAAACCAAAGATTTATTGTCACATGCTTAAGGTTCATCATAACAAATGGACAAAAATGGCTGTATTTACACCTCAAAAACTACTCTTTGAGTACAGACTAAACTCTGCAGTTGGAAAAATTTTAAGGCCCGGCATCCGCTAGATATATAAAATTTAAGTGCATCCTGTGTTTCAGAAAGATAAAATATTTTTTGGATTTTGATGGGCAGTTTTTTTCGTTCCAGCTGAATTACATTTGATACTGTCCACTCAGTTGCACCCTTTAACTCACCTATTGTGTAGATATCTATATTGTCCTTCTATTGTCCATGTCAATCAAGGACAATCAATGCAATAAAATACAGTTGTTACCTGAGAGGGACCATCTCAAAGATTTAACCCAACTTAGTTTATTTTTACACCTTTGGCTTCTGCAGGAACAGAAAAAAAATGCCCATCAAAATCCAAAAAAGATTTTATCTTTTTGAAACATAAAATGCATTTAACTTTTATATGTCTAGTGGATGCCAGGCCTTAAAACTTTTTTCAACTGAACAGGTTAGTCTGTACTCAAGAGTAGTTTTAGGGGTGTAAACCCAGCCATTTTTGTTTATGTTATGATGAACTTTAACCATGCAGATAGTTGAAATGGACAACATTGATTTGCAACAAATTACGAAATGCCACATGGCTAGTCTAAGGAATTTTTATCCGCCATTCTGTGTGATCATGCGGGTATTTTTGTAATGGGATGGTGGAGGAGGGGTATATAGTGATGGAATAAATATGGAACAGCAAAAAAATGATAATAGAACAAATGTTGCATATAGAAATTAATCCTGATGTATTTTCAAAACTTTCTAAACTTCTGAAAAATAAAATGCAGTTCCTACCAAGTTTAAATTTTTAAGGTGCACAGGTTTTTATGTGCATAAGTAAATTTCATTGTGTAATTCATATTTGGCAATTCCTTCTGATGAACCTAACATAAAATTTCAAGAAGTTTTAATTTTTTAAGTTTTTATAAACACACAATATGCATATAATTTGTACAATATCTGGGTTCAGCCAGGCCTAGAAAACATCCAAGTTCTCAGGTTTTCTGTTTTGTGGTGTACACACGGCCGTATTTGCAGGTACCTTTATGATTTCTCTTTTATGAACAGTTATTTAGAATACAATTAGTTTACTACTAACAAAATTGGATACACAGCAACAGCCCTTTTATTATAGCAGACTATATGGTATGGGTTTTTCTCATTGTTGAAGGCCGCACGGTGACCTATAATTGCTTATATCCGCTTATTTGAACTGGTGGATAGTTTTCTCATTGGCAATCATACCACATCTCTACATCTAATAAAGTAATTGATCACGCTGTTATAATTACACCTTATATAAGTATGCTTGCTTTTAATTGTGCATTTTTGCAGGTACTATCTTCTAATGAATATCGTTCATATTTCTGTCGCCGGTGTATATGCAAAAGGATGTGCCATTTTTATGCTCTCTGTAGTGGTATTTGCTCAAAACAAGATACTTTTTTTTTATCCATCACGGAGACTCTTGGTCATTTGAGCTTTTTATTTCACTGCTACCATTTATGCTGCGTCTTGAAAGCTTTAATTTTATTACTAGTACCATCTCTATCGATATTTTGCTTAATTAAACATGGACGACTATTTGCAAAAAAAATACCAGTCTTGAGACGGAATTGCCTTCGCCCAGCGACACAGGAAATTCTAAATTATCTCGACTGGTATTATCGAAAATACATCTCCAGAATATGATATATATCTGTTTATCTTTGCCATTTTGAATTAAACATAATAATTCAATTCACTTGACCACAATTTTGCGGGTTTATACAAACTGTAACTTAAAATAACCTATAGCAATGTTTATGCATTTCTTTTTTTTTCCAGAACGTTATGCATTCTTTTGCTGTAGCAATTTTTTGCCTCTTTGTGGTAAGTGACTTTATTTATACACGATGCAAAAGTTTTTAAATAGCATGCGACCAAAGTCGCGGAAGGCGAGATATAGGTGTTGCTTTTCCGGTGGCGGCGGCGGCGAGGACGTTAGGCGGCATCAACAATTGTTGAGTTTTCTGTTTCATTTAGTTTGATAGGAACTTCTTGTTATCTTATATTTTCTATAAATTTGCATTACTATCCGAGTACATATCAGTTAGACTACTATTTCGAGGCCATGCCCCCCCCCCCCCCCCCACCCATTTTGAGCCCTTCCCCCTAGGTCATGGCCCAGTGACTTTGAACTAATTATTAATTTTCTATGTTAAGTTTTCTGATTAAGTCAGTTTGGTAGGAACTACTTGCTCACCGATATTTTCTATGAAGTTGCATTATTATCAGTACATATTAGTTTGACGACTATTTCGAGGCCCTGCCCCTAGGTCATGGTCCAGCGTAATTGAATTGATTAGCAATGTTGCTGTCCATCAGATTGTCTTTTTCAAATTTTTTGTTGAGTTTATTTTTAATAATATTCAGTGATTTCAAAGGAGCAATACAGCTACATAATTATGCGGATTTCTGTGCATATTTGTATGACACTCTATAACAATCGTAATTATTAACGTGCTATACAAATAAATTCCAAGTTTTTACTTGTAACTTAAATCTTATTGTGATGTTTATGTTAAAATTTATCACCAAATCCTAGTCTTGGTTGCTAAAGAGAAAAAAAAATGTCTGCATGTTTCAATCCAGTTGTTCGGAATGGTATAGAAATAAACTTTGACCCTGCTTGATAAACCCACTTTTCATTATTATATTGGGAATAATATCTTGAAGTTAACAAATAAATATTACGAAAAATTGTGTTGGCTTTTGCAGTTTTAGAATCCGTTACTTTTACATGTTATTGGAAGTAATTGTGAACGAACAATGCTCAAACGTTCATAAATTTAGAAGTTATTAAGAAAGAGTTGACCAAAGATGGATCAGTGGTTATCCTTTTGGGTGCCTTTTTGGTTATATAGGTCTCCTCGTTTACATGTACTTATGCATTGACTTTCAACTATTTAGCGTTGTGAATTGCTGGGGAAAATAAATCCAGAAAAGCGATTAGGACGCAACAAATTTATTAAGTGCAATTTTTTTTTCAACGCTTAGTAATCGAGATTGAATTATATTCCTTGAAACGGTAAACCGAGATTGGCTTATTTAGGAATTGTTGGGAAACGTCCCTAGGCCCCAACAACACAGGCACTTGTCTCAGAAAAAAAAATTCCTGTTATATTAAGGTATATAGGGGAAAAAATTTTCTGAGATAAGTGCCTGTGCCCAACAAGTCGTAAGAAGGTCGTCAAACATCGGAGCAATTTCGGACTAAGAATCGAGAAGATACAAAATACTGTTATGTGGTGACATAATTCTAGAGCATAAGTGTGAGCTATGGTCGTCGTTTGTTCTGTCATTCATCCCTTTCATCTCTTAACTGTTCGCTTTAAGAACACATGCAACAATGGTCAAGAGACTGAAGCAAGACAAAATTTCTGTTCCTTACCAACATTCACTGGTAGACTACCTTGGAGAAATTATTATTATTTGAAATGTTCTGGTTCTGAATGTGCATAAAATATTTTCCAACGAGTACTTACTAAGATAACAGAAAACAATAAATGAACCAGAGGTGTTTGAATTGTTTCAAAGGTCAGGTTAAAATCTAGTGGTCAAGTACACATGATTTGTACAGGCTATTTCTAGTGCTAGAGGCTAATCCTCTATAGTTATACATACGTCATTACGATAACGTACGACACGGGCTCTAACAACATGTATGTGTGTGTCTAAAAACTAAGACTATATGCAAGTAAATGCATACGATCAGGATTCGAATTTCGAATTGCCGAAGTTATAAATGTTCCCATTTCAGACAAACGAGTGAAAAGCAAATGAATAAATTGATAGTTCATTTGTTGTGTTCTATATTTAAGGTATATTGTCATGCTATTCCACCGGGATACTTTTGGGACTATTCATATATTTTGTTCTATATTTAAGGTATATTGCCATGCTATTCCACCGGGATACTTGTTAGAAGGTAAGTTTCAGTAGAACTGGTGAATCGTAACAAAGTTTGGGGTATCTAGTTTATTAATTGTGTCAGATTACCCCGCCTGCCAACCAAGATGGCTGACATGGCTAAAAATAGAACATATGTGTGAAATGCAACGCTCTACCTTTTGTATGTTTACGTCAAAATTGTCGGACAACTTCTTATAGGAGTTATTGCCCGGAAATGGTGAATATTACCATTTATTTAAATTATTGTCTATGTCGAAAATTATAAAAGATAGAAAGAAACTATTAAAGCAAAAGTAATCAGCAAGATCTACAAATAAGTCTACACAGCCAAAATCGTCAGACAAATTACAGTTGTTGCCCTTTGATGATTTTTTCCAAATATTTTGCGTTATTACCTCATAAAAAGAGAGAATCGTTAAGAATCAATATTGATCAGCACATCAGGATCTACAGTTAAGTCAACATGGAAATTCAGTCGAATCCTTTTTAGAGTTATTGCCCTTTAATGACGATTTTTACCAATTGTTTGCGTTTTTGCTTAATATATTAAAACTATAATAGATAGAAACTTTAAAAAGCAAAAATGACCAGCTAGACAAGATCTACAAATAATTTAACCTGAACGATATCGTTAATCGACTTTTTATTGAAGTTATTGCCCTTTAATGACGATTTTTCCCATTCTTGCCTTTTATCTTGAAAACTGTAATAGATAGATAGAATCTTTAAATTGCACAATAGACCAGGAAGACAAGATCTACAAATAAGTTATAATGGCGGAAATATTCAATCGATTTGTTTTTTGGAGTTATTGCCCTTTAGTGATAATTTTTAACATTTTTTGCAGTCTTGAAAACTATACTTTAATAGATAAATAAAAACTTTGAAAAGGAAAAATTATTAGCAGGATAAGATCTACAAATATGTCAACATGACTGAAATTGTCATTTAACTCTTAATAGACTTATTAGAAATATGAAGACGTAGTATGATTGCCTATGAGACAACTCTCCATCCAAGTCACAATGTGTAAAAAGTAAACAATTATAGGTCAAAGTACGGCCTTCAACACGGAGCACTGGCTCACACCGAACAGCAAGCTAGCTATAAAGGGCCAAAAAATGACTAGTGTAAAATAATTCAAACAGGAAAACCAACGGTCTAATCTTTATAAAAAACGAGAAACACTTATGAACCACATCAACAAACGACAACCACTGAACAACAGGTTCCTGACTTAGGACAGGTGCAAACAAATGCAGCGGGTTTAAACGTTTTAACAGGCGCCAACCTTCATCCTAACCTGAAACAGGAGTGTAAAATTACAACCTAGAAAGAAACACTATAAAATATCAACTGAAATGGCTTAACTCAATCAAAAAGACATATTAACAAAAACAAGTAAACATACACTGAACGAATAAATTTGATCTATGACACAATATAAATACAATATTAATAAAAAAAAGGGGGAGATGTAAAACAATGTCAAAAAGACAACTATAACCTTGGACAAAATAGAGTTAAATAAAATAACGTACACAGGTAAATTTAAATAAATAATTTTGCAGTTAGTACTGAAATATTTTTTACAAAATAAATAAATTTGTTGTTCATTGTACGAGAACAAAGTGAAAATTTATTGTCATACTAAATACTCATAAAAAAAAGTGGTTCTTTCTCTATCTCTCTCTCTCTCTCGCAACGCTTTCTAACATGCCTGTTGAAAGGCAAAATTCATCCCGGTTAATCTACTTGACCTCTACCTATTTGTCCTCGATATGCATGACATATTTGCCACTGAACATTATTTAAACAATCAATCAATCCTTAATCAAATAAAAAATATGACCAGTTGAAACCAAAGTAGTTGTACTTCGATCAGGTGATCCTCCAAACGCTACTTGATGGAGTTTTATTATTTTAGTAACACACAACTGTGGAACGCTTGGAACAGGAGGTTCGGCAGTCGGAGCTGGAGCTAACGTTACTGTTAAGACCGATCTTCATGCATTCGCAAAATTGACATGCAACAATGCTGGTAGTCCAGTTACAGTAAAGATGGCGGAGATTAATGACACGAATACTGAAGTAACGACAAATCTGTACTATTCTGGTGATTCCAATGCAGTTGCTGGTACAGATTGCTTCTTTTTCGTAAGTTGATTGGAGTTTTTTCCGCGATAATTTCGGATGTTTACTATAGATACTAGTATTGAGACTCAATTCAAAAATTGACATAAGTAATTTTAAAATGTATAGGACGGAACTATATTTTAGATATTTGCTGTTTGTTGAGTGGTTTAATGTTGTTGGATGGGTCGCTTTAAAATATAGTGCCTTACAAGATTTTATTGAGGTAGACGAATTCAGCCTTTGGGGAGCTACCATTTGATTTTTATGGGGGTGGGGGGCTAGGATGAAAAATTTTGTCCTGCATTTTTTTTTAGTTGTAATCTCTGTCCTGCCTTTTTATTTTTCACTCTATTCGGTCCTGCCTTTTTTTTTAAAGTTTATCCTGACTTTTTTTACAGAAATTGCCATCCTGACTTTTTTTTGCAAGTGTCTCTCATCCTGCCTTTTTTTTTTACTCAAAACTCCTGTCCTGCCTATTTTTTTCAAATTTCATCCTAGCCCCCCCCCCCCCCCCCCCCCCCCCCATAAAAATCAAATGGTAGCTCCCTTAAATGATCAAATTTACTTTTTATGTACAAAAATAGGCAGATCAGTCATATTTTGACTTCATTAACTCTCTGCTTTCATTTGAATTCAATTGGAATGACAACAGCTTAATAAGACTGAAAAAATCTATTTTCTGTTAAGACACACAAGCTTTTAACCTTGCGTGGACGTTCGTAAAATATTTAAAAAAAAATACATGATCTGTAAACTTGGTTTCTCAAATATCTGAAGATTGCGCTATCTTAATATAGTAAAAAAATCACTGTATAACGAAACTTTTGTGAAAAAGTAAGAACTGGAAAATCGAACCTTTCATACCTTGTGTTTCATAAATAAAAATAACATGAACTCTTTCAGTGTCCAATTTGATGGTCAATTAAATTACTGTTCAGAAATGCAAATTAACCTGTTTTCAGATAAACAGAATATAGTTATATTCTAAAGGCATTCAGATTATGAACTTTAAAAAAGTTAAATTATGACTTATTAAAAGTTCGAGGGTCCATATGGATGGGGTTTCTTCATTTCTGTACGTTTTAATGTTTTATGCCATTTTTCTCTAATTCTTCATTTTTGATGCCGACTTTTCTCTAGACTGTTACCCTCAAGTTAAAGATTATTGTTTTATCATATATATAAAAAAGAACATTGTTTTATCATATTTATAAAAAAGAACATTGTTTTATCATATTTATAAAAGAAATCAATGCGTGATTTTTAGTACAGCAAACTTAAGACTATAATTGTTAATTCACAAACAAGAATAATTTCCGTTAAAGAAGTTTTACCTTAAGATTTAGAGTTGCCATACCTGTTTTCAAAAATAATTATTGTTACGTAAGATTAAATAACAATGACCAGTACATATCAAAAGAACTTAAATAAGTGTTAGGAGATTGGGTAGGGAGAAATGTCAGACGTGGGGTTTTATACTACAGTTTCTTGTAAATACAACGAAACACTCATCTCTCAAACTTTGAGTTAGAATTCAAAAACCTATATGTCTGTATATTGCATATTTAAAGCAACAGAAACTTCGGACTTCAAAAGTCAAAAAAACTATTGACTTGTACAGAAAATTCACATTCCTTTAGCGTTAATCAATAAATATAATTTACGGATACATAGAAAAATCTTTTCTTAAAATACTGCAAAAACTTTTATTCTGATTGTCAAAAAATGGGTTTAAGTGAACCATGGTATAGCAAACATCGAATTCCCTCGCAAAATCTTATGATCTCTTATCACACGCTGTGGCTATACTCGGATTTCAATTTCTACATCAGATGACCATAAGGGCATTCCTGTGTATTGTTGCCACAGACATTTCTACCCACGTGACTTTCGTTTTTGACTGATGACCGAACGCAAAATAACATTCCTTATCGCTTGTTAAATATCAATTTCATCAATAAATATTCATGAAAATAATTTTTAAGAACATAGATAAATGATATGAAAATGTTTTGTCGTGAGAAATATATCTATATTACTAAATGAAGAGAGTTGAAATTGGGTGTCGCGTTTTTCTTCTTTCACATAAAATCCACGAATATTGTTTTATACCATAAAGGGGTAATGACCAGCGTAGTTTATTATGTGTTCATTTCAAGATCTTTTTTGGGGGGGGGGGGGGTATTTGGGGGTTAAAATCGGAAAAAAGCCAGTTCGGATCGACTGTGCTTCACGACGTTCTTAAACCAAGTTTAAAAAACTTTATATACAGGTAAGACTGTAAATTTTAAAAACAAGTGTTTAAAATTATGTGGTTTCATTTCCGTCATTGCACGTCTGCCCGGCAAAATTAAATTTCATTTCGTAGCAGATACGGTAAATATTGACCTTACACTGAAACACTTTGTGATACACATTCCCTTGACGCTCTCAGCAATTTAACAACAGATTTTTACACGTCAAGAGCTTTTCCTTCCGGGGAACCGCATCAATGCAACACGAAAAGGGTAGGGGATTACTTCAGTTTTCGGTTAAAAATGGGTACCGAAGTACGGCTGGAATGTGACCCACCCCCATTCATATATTAATGCATAAAATTTTCAGCCCACTCATATATGGGGGTGGTTCTGAGCACGGAAACACCAGAAATCAGGTGCAGATCCAGGATTTTATGTTAGGGGGGGGGGGGGGTGCAAAAAATATTGTTCAGCGGAGCATGTTGCAAAATATTTTGGGGTAAATTAGCAAAAATGTACGTGCCGTCGTCATTTTCGCTTTGTCTGCAAGTATTATGGTCTGCACAGCAAAAAGTATACCCTAAAGGGTGGGGGATTACTTCGGTTTTCGGTTAAATATGGGTACAGAAGAGCGGCTGGAATGTGACCCCTATTCATATATTAATGCAGATCGACCTTACACTAAAACACTTTGTGATACACATTTCCTTGACGCTCTCGGCAATTTAACAACAGATTTTTACCCGTCAAGAGCTTTTCCTTCCGGGGAACCGCAGCAATTTAACATGAAAAGGGTGGAGGGATTACTTCGGTTTTCGGTTAAAAATGGGTCTGTGACACGCTTCAAAAAGATTTTTTAAAAGATCTTAATATCGCCTTACACCAAAACTATATATCTTCAAATTATGAACCAAAGTATATTTCGCGGGTATTTTCTAGTATATCAATAACAAATCAAGAATACCGAAAATTTGTGTTAACGCATGCGGAAGAATATCTCAAGAACGTTTTGCGGGAAAATATGAATGCCTACTCCAATCCAATTTATTAGAAAAATCGAATTATTACAGAAGAGTGTCCACCATGCACTTGCACTGCACTATTATTAGAATAGTAGAATATAATGATATACAAATAGATGAAAATTATATATACATGTAATTGTTATATACAAATATTAACTTATGATATATAACAACAAACCAGAGTATACTGATTTGTATCACTACAATATAATAGTTATTACGGTGAGGTTGAATTCCCTGTCATTTATTCATCATCCACGCACAAACTTGTCTCAGAAAAAAATATATCTTTGTACCTTAAGGTTCCACTAAAGTCAAAATATAGGACACTTCATAAACATCTAAACTTTGCCTGTATTTTTCAACCTATAATGAGTAAAGTCCTAAACAAATAAAGTCGTCTCGCAGGCCTCCAGATTTTTTTGAAAATTTAGTGTTCACCCCAAGAACCGGTTTGGCCACAACATAACAATTTCAAGTTTATTTACAATTTACACAGTGTGTATATGTTAAGTATGTTTAAATGAACATATGTTCTCATAGTTTAGGACTTTACTCATTATAGGTTGAAAAATACAGGCAAAGTTTAGATGTTTATGAAGTGTCCTATATTTTGACTTTAGTGGAACCTTAATTTCACTTTCAGGTATAGAGATGTGATTTTTTTTCTGAGACAAGTGCTTATGACCATTCGGTCATCCGATGTTCAGTACTTCAGTACTTTGATTAATATTCATACACCTTGAAACTGTTTAAACTTTGTTGCCATGAAAAGCACGTGCGGTTATTGATGTTTCGTGTAATTTGGATGTTAAACATTATTTAAAAACACCACATGATTGTTTCCTGCCAATCAAAATAGATATAGACAGCCTTATAAATAAGATAGCCTTAAAATTATGCTATTTGGAGAATCCATTGCAATAATTTATTATCAACGAAATTGTTGATAGGCTTGCTACGTATACTATCGTTCAACGTAGATATATATATTTATCGCTATTTTACGAATTTTTCCTTTGATCTTGCTGACTGATAATTTCCGTTCTCAGCGGAGTCGAGTGATATGAAAATTATCGCTAGAAACTAAGGGAACACGTCCCGTTGTCAAGGAAATTAACAACGTCTTCATAGGTAAAATAGCGATAAACAGATTATCATTGGTCATCTCAACTCGATTGCTTTTCTCACTTTCGCCGTACCGGCTCAAGCGAGAAAATCAATCTCGTTGAGATAACCAACGATAATCTATAAATCTACGTCATAGTGGCTGTATACGTGCCATGTGCTATCCATCTTTTAAATTCCCTATTGACCCATAACCAATTAGAAAAACTTATATTGACATGAGATATAAGTTTGACAATCTAATTGACCAACATGCATTTGTTGTAAATAATTATTATATTCTACAGCATCCAGATGGAGATTCTGAACTTAATGTGGTTGAGATAGAAGTGTTCTGGGGATTCGGGAACGCCACACTGATGGAGGATTATGAAACCTACACAATAACATGTACTACCAATGGAGACGCTTCACAGACTCTAACAAAAAAGGCGATTGATGATAAGTAAGGCGATGACCATTTGATATTCTGGGGGCCAGGATTTTGAAAAAGAATAGTCTGGCCTGTTTAAAACTGAAAACAAATTACTTTGCCCAAGCCGAGTAGGATGTAAATGAAATTCTTCACAACTTCTTCAATACAGGAAATTATAGTTATGTACAAGATTTTTTAAAATAAATCTTTCGCGCAATTGATTTGCTAAGCCGGTGAAAATGAATACTCTATCCGAAAAAAGCTAAAAACCCTCCTCACCCCCAAGAAAATCAAAGGACCGTCCATTAAGTTTTTACCTTCGGTAGACTAGACATGTATTTTTCCTATTGCAGTCCATTTGTTTAAAAAAAAAATAAATAAAACTGCAAGGGTTTAACTATTTAGATATGTTCTTTTTAGGCCCAAAAACTGTTTTATCAATTCTGACGTAAAGATTTCTTATATCGGGTTTTGATGGCTATTTCTATCCCGACCGAATGACCCGTTTTCTCCTTGAATTCTTAATGACATTGCTGATCTTTATGGCAAGCCGTTTACTATTTATTCTAACTTCAAAATATCTAATAAACCGTTATAAGATATCTCATATAGTTTATGATATCTTATAAAGTATATGAGATATCTTATTATTGCGAACCAAATGAAAGTTTTCCACAGAGTCGTCTGACCAGGGTATTTAAACTTTTGTCTATTCTCTTGTCCTATTGAATAGCTATTGTTCTCTGTGTAGTTTTTTCACTGGGACCTTTAAATTTCTTCTAGGAGAAATCTATCACTCATTGATTAATTTACCAGACCAAATAAATATCTTCTAATTTGGGGGAAATAGTTGTATAAACTCGCATAAACTGCATGCAATATTGTATTTAATCAATATCAATAATATATTTTCAATCTGTTCAATATAAACACTGATTTAATTATAAAAAGTTTATTTCTGACAAAATTTTAAGTATTGTTCCAATGAATTTGCATGTTTTTGTTGTTGTTCAGTTATAGAATACATTTGTCAAACATACAAAAAAAAGCAAATTTTAGTAGGGAAAATATAAAAAAATTGTTCAGAAATCAACTTTTAATTTTGGAATCAGTGTTTATATTGAAACTATTAAAAATGAATTATTGATATTGAATAAATACAACACCACATGCAGTTTTTTTAGTCCTTATTTAGTATTTGTACATGTACGGATCACATCAAATTAAGTCGAGTATGCGGTTAGAATTATACGTATCTTTATTCATCAAAATTACATTTGGCAGTATATCGTAACAACCGATTCTCTACAATAAAATACAAATACACATTAACATACATCGTAAGTAAAATATAAATTAAAACACTAAAAAACATAATACTAAACAAACAATAGGAATCACTTTCTTTCACGCTTCATAAATAACTTGTTAAATTAAAAAGTTAATTGAAATAAATATATTGTTCTTAAAAATGTACATAAATATCTCTTACCGATTATAATCTCTCTATACAAAATACTGATGTGTCGTCGAATAATAAATAACTTGCAATGAATAAAAACTCTAGACAACGTAACGTACGTCAAGGCGAAACGTCATAAAACTTTAAAAAAAAAAAAAGGAAACTATTACAATTTATACGAGGGCAACGTTACATATGCGCAAATACTCAAAAATAGTATATACAAGTATTATAAATAAAATAAATAAATTCAGTAATAATAAATGGAAGAAACCCAACAATTTGGAATAACATTTCAGATCTAACAGTACATGTATTTTCATTATTGACAGTTCAATTTTTTGTTCAGGTAAATTAATCAGTGAGTGATAGATTTCTCTTGGAAGAAATTTAAAGATCCCATCAAATAAACTACACAGAGAACAATAGCTATTGTATTTATTAGATGGGACAAAAGAACTTACAAAAGTTTAAATCGACAGGTAACTTGCAGGTGAATCTGTGGACAAGTCTCATTGGGATCGCAATAAGTTTATAAGATTACTTATAAAAACTAGATTATATTAGATATCTTATAAATTATATGAGATATCTTATATATTATACATTATATGATATATCTTGAAGTTAGAATAAATAGTAAAACGGCTTGCCATAGGTCTTGCGTAAATTCGGTTTTGTGATAGCTCGAGAAAAGTTTGCTGAGGTAAAGTCTCTTCTTAGCAGGACATCTTTGTTATTATACCGCTTAGAAGAGTTTTTTCGTACTTTCTTGTTAATTTAATTATATGGAAATGAGACAGGAGAAGTCTTAAGAATTGGATTATCTATTAAATACTTTGCTGACTTTGCTTGGCGACGGATTAAACAAATTTGCTAGCTTTAATTGATTGCATTTCTTCGAATCCGGTATTGTTTTAAGATTATTTTTTTGAATGACGCACCTTAAAGACCTAAAAGAGAATTCAAAGCTATGTATGTTGTAAAAAATCAATATTTATGTAGCTCTTTGCCATGAGTAAGAATACTAGTAATACGAAAAGCTAGTTCGTTGCATTAGATATACACTGTTAATACATATACATTGTATATATGGGTGACGTTTGTTTGTTCATGTTAGTTTTTTCTTTTTGGTATTTTGTTGGTTTTTTTCTTTTTTCTTTTTAACCGAGGCCCGTTGTTTGCATCTATGAATCAGTGTTCTCTAAAACTTGCGGTCCTGACCACCAAAAATTGGGTAGATCCGTCTTTTTTTTTATTGTAGTGGTGGTTCTGATGTCCAGCTAAGTCTGTGATGGTTTAATTGTTAATTGGACTGTCTGTTGTTTAATAGCTCCTGATTACAATCTTCATCAATATATGGAACCATATACTGGCCTCAACTTATTTATACCTACATGTATCAAAATGATTGATAGTTAAAATTTTCTGCAAACACAAGAACCAACACATTTTCACTGGGACCACCAGGTGTATAGTCTTAGTGATCCAAAATTAGCACCAGCATAAAAAAAACGGATTTCGATAAATCTGGTGAATGAAAGCTATGCCACTGCTGAGACTGGCTCTGTGGGCTTGCCTGATAATTAAGAATCTTAATTTTCCTCTATATAAGTTTTCGGACAATAACTCAAAAATGCTTTGAGCAGTTTTCATGAAACTTTGGTGACTGGTTTATATTTATTAAAATAAGCTCCCTTTAATTTTTTTTATATAAATTTCTGATATATTGAAGATGTTACGGAACTCTATTCGTTGAAAAAGCGACGTGCGTATCATGTGCTCATGGCGCACTGGGACTCTAATTTTAATTTCCAAGTTAGCAAATGGATACAAAATAACTGCGCTATATTCTTCTTTCGATTAGTTAGTATATCCCAATATTTATAAATATTATTCATTGAGGTAAAACAAAGTCGAGTGTTGATTTTTTCAATCGTTTATTGATGCATCTGTGCTATTCTAAAAAGACGAAACACTGAAATTAAGTCACCAATTTATGAGTTTTTAGTATATTTAAATAGATATATAGTTTTAGGTTATAAGCTGTATATATGAATTATATTCACAGTGACTAATCATTTGTTGTCATTACTATGTTTATGAGGAGACGGACTTATGAAATGACATTTTTGTGCTGCACAAGATATCTTTTGGATAAAATTATTTTAGTCAAAGCTTTTTTTCGTATCTTAAATCTTAGTTTTGACATTTTTTTGCATTTTTTTTTCTTTAACTTAAGTCTTCAGACCTAAAAGCAAATATGCCACACAAAACTAAAAATATAGATACTAATATGTGACTGCCTTACTAATGTCTTGTGACATCTGAATAGTTTTATTTGTAAAGAGCAATAATTTTTCTAGTCCTTGCATAGAGTTACACCTTGATCTTAAAAATTTGGCCTGGTCATGTATTGTTTATTCATTTGTATTGTCATTAAAGATTTTTCTAGCGAGTAATATGTTCAATTTTATAACAGCGTATATTATGTTCGTCTTATTAATACATTTCTTTTGGGAATTTCAGTACTTTATATTATAAAAAAATTCTGGTGAAAAAATACACCTGGAAATACCTTCCACCACAAACTGGGCATGTAGCATAGAACTAAATGGTTATTTCATTTTTATCTATAAAGAGGTTAACACCTAGCTATCCTACTGCCTGTCGATACATTTATTTTTGGCATTGCACAAGTCATGTCTTCTTTGACTGTCCATGACGTTAAAATACTAAATCCCTGGGATGTGTTTTAGTTGATTTTAGTCTCTGATGCATTATTATTTTTTTCTTAATTGTTTTTGGCTTTTGACTAGCTGTCAGTAACTGCGAGTACTCTCAAATCGTACTTTCTTGTTAATTTGACCTGTTGATACTATTTGTAATGCTTTTTTGTTATTAAATGTTTACTTATTCAGGGTTATATCTGGTCTATATACCAGCTTTGATAAGTGTTTGGTATTACTATAAATTTTCACTTCTTCGTACTATGAACATCAAAATTATTTATTTTGTAAAAACATTTCCTTTCTTCATTTAAACTGTATACCTGACTACAAAATTATTTTAATTTACTTGTGTGTAATATTTTTGTAAATGGCGAATTTTCGTTCAATGTTATTGTTGTTTTTCTGAAATTGTTTAACATTTCACAGCGGTATAATACTGTTACTTTAATTATTCATCCCTTATTTTATTGATTTTGTATTTACGTTGTATCATAGATCAAATTTATTCGTTCAGTGTATGTTCACTTGTGTTAATATGTCTTTTGATTGAGTTAAGCCATTTACATTGATACTTTATAGTGTGTCTTTCTATGTTGTGATGTTACACTATTGTTTCAGATAAAGGTGAAGGTTTGGTACCATTAAAACGTTTAAACCCGCTGCAATTGTTTGCACCTGTCCTAAGTCAGGAATCTGATGTTCAGTAGTTGTCGTTTCTCGTTTTTTATTTAGATTAGACCGTTGGTTTTCCCTATTGAATGGTTTTACACTAGTTATTTTTGGGGCCCTTTATAGCTTGCTAATTGTTGTGAGCCAAGGCTCCGTGTTGTAGACCGTACTTTGACCTATAATGGTTTACTTTTATAAATTGTGACTTGGATAGAGAGTTGTCTTATTGGCACTCATACCACATCTTCTTATATCTATTTGATATCTTTATATATATTGACCATCCATTGTCATGATTGTAAGCTGTGTTGACATATTTTTTCTTCTAGTCGAATTTTGATGACTGATGGATTGGTACATAACCTTGGTGATTCATATGCTGGTGGCTCATCCTTGAAATTGATGGATGTTTTGGGTCAAGAAATAAGTGCCACTAAAGTATCCATGGGAAAGAAAATTTACTTGGAATTGTCAATTAGCGGTGGTTAGTATAGAAGTGTACTGTACTACAAATATAAGAAAAATAAATAAGGAAATTAATAGATCGATCATATCGGATCGTTTTAGGTAGTCTTCGTTTTTCATCAAGTATGTGATCTTGATTTTCTAATTATGTATAGGTTTTCTAAATTACTTGGACGGGAAAGTCGTGAATAGTAATTAAAGTGTGAAATTAAAAGTAACGTGGTTATGCACAAATTATGTATCCACAGTTTGTCCTGAATATGCATGAAATATTTGCCACTGAACGTTAAGCAAGCGACAATCAATATTCCAAAAGTAACGGATGAAAGAAAAGGACTGGGTATTAGAATTTAATCACATTCGACAATAAAAAAATAACTCTTTAGTTAACTTGGTGCATCTGAATCTATTATCTGGATTTACATTCATCAGGAACACTCACTCACAAAATTAAAAGGCCCGAATGTACAACTACTAGTATTATACACGAGGACCTATATGAATAAAAGGGATATACAAAAGATTCGTATTCATAATTTTAAAAATAAGATTCAGTCAGAAAACGAAGAAAAAATATTACTTATTGACGGAGTAGAAAAACTGAATTTATGTGTGCATTTGATAAACTTGCACCAGATCTGCATTACACGGATGTAATTACATTTAGAGATGTTGTAAGGTTCCTTTACATGAAGAGAGTGTAATTCATTCCCTTTTTATCCACTTGTAGGTAATGAACAGGGATTAACACCTTACGACTGTTATGCAAGAAACAGCGATAGTACAAAATCGTACAAGATATTTAATGCAGGGTAAGTACTCGGTGATTTTTTTTATGGAACCAGTTATTGTTTTGTAATTGAAAGATTCACATTGATAATGAAAGAGTACATCCGAAAGTATGTCCCACAAAACAGGATTCCAGGATTGGGCGTGTGTTTTATTTTGATTTACACATTTTCCCCCTAATGATTCCCAACAAGCATTTGCATTTGTTTATTATTTTCAAAACTTTATGAAGCAAATGTATGGGAATAGAAGAAAAGTATTATATATTGATAAGAAATACATACCATATTTTTCTGTAGGTGTGGTGATGGTATTGTATTTAAGAAATCTGCAGGTTTTACAGTTTCTGGAACAAAAGCTAAAAGTCCATTCTTCAAAGTGTTCAAGCTTATTGAAACTGACACAGCCAACACTGCTGTAAAGTATAGCTGTTCATTTACAACATGTAATAACACCTGCGATGGGGTAAGTAACTTTTATCAGGCTTATCATCATCCAAAGTAAAACATTTTATCCTGCAATCGGCCTTTCTACTATACTTATACAGGTGTACAGATAACACGAAGCGATATACGTATACTAGACGTATATAGTCTCCTGGTATCCTGCTTCTGTTGCGAGCGAACGGTTATGTCAAATTACTGTTTACGTCACAGTTCAATTTGGGGTCCTCATTCCGGTCCGCGTTTTAGTCATGTCGATTTCTTTCAAAAACAAATTCAACGATTGGGATAGAAAAAAATGTACAAAATTAATTGCAGGATAAAGACAATAACGGTTTAGTGTCTTTGAATATCAGCTGTATTTGTCCTCGGCTCGAAACAGGAGTAATAGCTCGCTGAAGCTCGCATTGCACCTGGTTCTTAGCCTCGTACAAATACAGCTGATATTTAAAGACACTAAACAGTTATTGTCTATGTATTTTCTAATTAAAGGGGCAATGGCTGCGATTTAGAAAAAAAACCCAAACATTTATAAAAACGGAATATTTAAACAATATATCGCAACTAGGTGTTAGTTTGGTTTAATTTTGTCAAAATAAGTCCAAATTATTTGCAAGTCATAAATTCAATCTCATTTTAATCCGTTTTCATGCGACCTGTGATTTAACCACTGTGAGATTATGCATGTGCTAGGCATGTCCAATGATAGAAACGATGTCAGCTGAAAAATGAAACCAGGGGAGGTAGCAGCAGGAAAATCGATTTCGTTGAATGACTCCGACTGGTAAAAAAATCCCGGTTCTATACAGGTTATGAGTAAATGGTTTACCAGTACATTTAATTTGTTTTTTATCTATGAGATGAGATCAAACAGAACTAAGAAAATTGGTTTTACTGTTGCACGTGATTACCTGTTTTATTTGAATGTTATGTTTATAACACAGGGACTCGGTTAGCAGATTAAAATTTGTTAAACAATGTTTTGCATTTTTTTTTCGTATTGTCTATTTAGGATTTTTCAGTATACGGATATGGATAGTAAACTGCACATTGCTAGAAAACAAAGAAATATTGATGCCAACGTTTAAAACGTTGATAATGCAATACAAATAGACAAGAAATACGAAAAAAAAAATTGCAAAAAATAACAAATTTTAATCTGCTAACCAGTCCCTGTGGTTTATAACTATAACGGGGCCACATGCTCATCGTCAATTGTGGATCAAGTCAATAGTTTAACTTTATTCGATGGCGTCCAGTTAGGAATACACACACAATGTTGATAACTGGATACTTGGTAACGATTCTAGACGACGTGTATTGCTTTCCATGGAACTTCTGTAGTTCTGCATTACGTTTTAGTATATATTATATCAAATTTTAGAGTTTGAATACATTCATTGTGCATACATTTGCCAGCTAAAAATGCTAATTTAATGGATCCACTAAAACAATCAATTAATTAAAAAATAGCTCGAAAATAGGTAATATAGAGTCTTGCTTGTGTTTAAGTTTCAGGCTTGTTTAAACCAGTAATAAACAGGGTTGTTATAGAATATATATGTAGCTGTATCAATTTCATTTCGCTTCCATTTGCATCTAAATTTTCAAGTTCACCATATGTAGAAACCGTAGTATCATCTATGAACTGGCCTGTATAATTCATGACCTTTATTTTTCAGTCAAGTTGCAGCCTTGTTTTGAGAAGTAGAAGATCTGTAGACCCAGGTAATTTTTAAAAGAAATTTTTTTTTTTACTTTGGGTCAAACATAAAAATATCTTCAGTGTTGCTTCCTTTAGAAAATAAGGGTAGCTAGATTTTTTTGTTATTGTGCTCATTTTTGACATGAGATGTGATGAGGACCACTGGTAAGTTACAAAAAGTGCCAATGAAAACTAAGGGTAGCTATTTGAAGCATACAAAATAGGGTAGGCAGAATACTATTACATTATTTTATAAAGATTTAAAAATGCTAAATAAAATTCGTTTTTCGAATGGAATTTTTTAAACGTCTCATACCCTTTTACAGAATTAGAATTATATTTTGACAATTCTATCGATGTATCAAGTACATATAACTTTTACAACCTTTATACTATATTATTATAGAACAAGCCATGATGATGACGGATTCAGCAAAATATCAAATCAACCAATCAACAAGGAGTGATCAAAGTAAACCAGGGAAAGAGGAGGGAGAAGATAAAGACACAAAGGAGCGCAAACTTTCATCAGTGGCCTTATTCTGTGTTGCAGTACTGGCAATAATATCACTGCTTCTCTCTTTATATTCATGTATACGACAAGAACGATCTCGATCACGACGTGAATGTGTTCCAGGATGCAAGTGTCCCAACAGTGAGATGTGTCCTTGTCCAGAATGTCCAAGACGGATTTAGGACATTGTTAAATCTGTAATTAAATCATTAGGAATCTTCTTGTTTTTTATTTGTTTTTTTCACAAAATTAATTTTGGATAATTATAAGTTCTACATTTCACTGTAAAATGAATTGCAAGACTTTGGTACAATAATCATTCTAAGCAACAAAAACGAAAACCATAGAAACCAAATACACACATTTTATGACTCCATGCTGAAAGTTACATGAAAAGGAATAGACAGGTCTTTAGGTAATAGGCAAAAACAAGGTGGAAATTATCAAATGGGTTGGGGAATCAAAAAAGGAACTTGAAAAAAATCCATCGTGGCTCCAAAAACAGACTACAGTACACTAAACACTAAAAATACAGCAATGCAAATACCACGAAATACCGTTGGTGAAATCGACATCATTGTAATTCCGGACCCTGTCTGCCAATTTGTGTATATAAGGCAATGCACGAAACAGACATAACTGTGGTGACCTTTATCTCAAGTTCAGCTGGATAGATGCGATCAATCATAATAATGATTAAACTATGAATTATTTATAATTATAGCAGAATGTGAAGTAAACGGATAATCCTATATTTTCATTCTCTTTGAAAAGGTACTTTATGGCGTCGGACTCGTGCGAATAAAGGATTTTTTCAAAGTTGCAGTTTGACATCATCTCTTCAATTTGATCAAATCTGGAACATCTTCTAATAATACTATTCCCAAATCAAAATGGTGAAAACTTAAAAGCATGTTGTTCAAGAAAAAGGTTGCAAGTATAAAGTAGTTGCAGTGCAATACAAACATTCTTACCATCCTTTTCCATTAATTGGCCTCTTTCGTGAAGGTTGGAACAAATTTAAATGAACAGTCATCTGGAACATAGAGGATGCACCAGATTGCCAACTAGCAAACCTTTGGATTTTTTTAAATTGCTGTTTAAAATTCAATCCTTAAAAAACGGATATCTAGTTGAGATTTAACAATAGAAAAAGAAATCTTTTTTTAAACAAGTAACGAATTGTTGACACAATGATATATCTCTCCTGTCGACATGAAATTCAGAAAAAGACAATCTGATGCACAGCAACATTGCTTATTATTTCAAAATCACTAGAGCATGATCTTGTGGGCAAGGCCTAGAAATGATCGACAAACTGAGATGTACAGACAGTAATGTAACTTTTTAGAAAAATAACGTTGTCTATTGTAAGTAGTTCCTATCAAACTAACCAAAGCGGAAAACTTAACATTGAAAACTGCTAATTTATTTAAAGTCACTGGACCATGACCTAGGGGGCAGGGCCGCAAAATAGTCGTCAAACTGATATATACTGATAGGTAATGATATTTTCTATAAAGTTGCATTACTATCACAAGTAGTTCCTATCAAACTGACTTAAGCAGAAAACTTAACATTAAAAATTGCTTATTAATTGAAAGTGACTGGAACAGGGCCGCAATAGTCGTCAAACTGATATGTACTGATAGTAATGCAACTTCATACAAAATATCATTGATATATCACAAGTACTTGATCCTATCAAACTAACTTAAGCAGAAAACTTAACATTGAAAATCGCTAATTAATTCAAAGTCGCTGTACCTTGACCTAGGGGGCAGGGTCTCAAAATAGTCGTCAAACTGATATGTACTGATAGTAATGAAACTGTGTATGAAATATAAATGATCTATCAAAAGTAGTTCCTATCGAACTTACTTAAGCAGAAAACTTAACAATTGTTGACGCCATCGTCATCGTATCCGGAAAAGCAATCCCTGTCTCGCTACCGCGTGAAATTCAATACAGCTGTATAATTTACAAGTTTTATTTTATAACTATTTATACACAAATTAATATATGGTGATAAAAGCTATATAATGCAGATTCTTAATCAAAATATGTCGCATAAGTGCAATTCCTTTTGGATTTTTGAAGACGAATTAACAAAAAAATCAACGAAACGATAAATGCTTTCATCTCTGCAGCGTTATTTTGAGAACAAAAATACTGAAAATGGAAAATTCTCTAAGAGTGAAAGAGAAAGCCGGGTACACCTTTTACATCCAGGCGTGTTTGAATCCACAGCTTTAAACCGCAAAAAACAAACAAATTACGCATTTCGTTTCAAATTCCATTATTTTTACATTTCATGTTAAATTTTAGGTCGTTTTGTACGATGATACCATAGCACGGCTGTCATTCGGAATATCGAGAAAAATGATCGTGGAAGAATAAGTTACGGTGGTCAAGTATTGTGATTGGATCGTGAAAGATCTGGTATTGGAGCGTGAAGGAAATCTTATCGAGAAGACACATGCAACACCAGTAATAATCTAATTTAATGAATTATAATGACAAATATTGGAAAAATAAAATTGTTTGTCAAAATGGTTCAACATTGTGATCAGTATCCGAGAAAAATCAAGTTTCAAAGGTGCACCGTTTTAACATAACTACCGTAAAGGCAAATTGCTCATAGAAATTTCAAAAAAATAAAAATGTAAATAAACATAATTTTTTTCCTATTTTGAATGCAAAAACTACTTTTCTCTTAAAAATATCGTTCCATATTACTGTTTAAAATGGTTTTTAAAGTTTCTTTGTTTTTAGTTCAATCAAAAACATTGCAAAATTGGGACTATTTGTAAAAATTTGATATATTCGGATCGTTATCCCAAAAATCCACGAAAACGATCAAATCATTTAAAGGTGACATGATAATTTATATTTGTAATTGGTATAGCAAAAGATTGGATTTGCACGACCTATTCCTCTTCACTTATGTTTCTGGATAGGGTTTTGTCTTGGATACATGAGTTTGTTATTAGTTGTTATAGGCTTTGAACTAGCTGTCAGTAACTGCGAGTACTCTCAAACCTGTACTTAGTGTCTTTTTGTTGTTGTGAGGAGTGTATAAATACCTGCCACGTATGGTCTGTGTTTTAGTTGGATGTTTTTCTGCTTTGTATATCGATCTGATGAGTTAAGCCCTTTTCGACTGATGTTTATAGTTTGTTCTTATGTTATACAGTTACACCGCTGTCACAGGTTAGGGAGAGGGTTGGTGCCTTCAAACATGTTTAACTCCGCCACTTTCTTTGTGTGTCTGTCCCAAACCAGGAGCCTGTAGTTCAGAGGTTGTCGCTGGTTCATGTCGGTCATATTTGTTTTTCGTAAAAAGATTTTGTTATAAATTAGCCCGTTAGTTTTCTCAATTGAATTGTTTCGTATTTTTCATGTCAGGGCCTTTTATAGCCGACTATACGGTATGTTTTTTCTGATTGTTGAAAGATGTACGGTTGCCTATAACTGCCTACATCCACATAATTTGAACTTTGGTGGATAGTTGTCTCAATGACAATCATACCAAATCTCCTTATTTTAACGATGATAGTTCAATGCTATTGGATCTGATTATTTGATAATACCACACCGACTACTTGTTTTATAATAATATATGTCCGTCTGTCCGTCCTGCGTAAGTTTTATGTCGTATTCATGAAACGTTACGATTGTGTCATCTGATTTCCATTAATTTTTATGCAGTCATATCTATAAAACGAAGATCCTTGTTGATTTTCGTGAAAAACGGAAAGAAAACATTGTTTAAAAAAACCCACAGGAAACAACGGTCATATTCCTGATTTGACACAGGCATTTTCTTAAGAAAATAGTGAGTAAAACCCGGGTTTCTAGCTAGCTAAAACGCCCACTTATATGCCAGTTTTTAATATTCCATAATATTACCAAATTGGGTGAGCAACCCAAACAGAAATAATTGGTTAACGTGGCCATAACTGGGATCCAACAGCCAAAACTGTGTTAAAATACATCACAGACATACAACACAACTGAATTAAACGTTCAAACTTACAATTAAATCAAACAAAGACACCAACAAACAAGAGGCTCTCAAGAGCCTGAATCGCTCACCTGTATTTCAGAGGAGAAGATTTTTAAATGTCAGCAAACTTAAAGAACAAATTGTGTAAAATTGTCTTTAAAGGGCAATAACTCCTTAAGGGGTCAATTGACAATTATGGTCATTTAACTTTTTTGTAGATCTTACTTTGCTGAACATAATTGCTGCTTACAGTTTATATATATCTATAATAATATTCAAAATAATAACAAGAAACTGCAAAATTTTGTTAAAACTACCAATTCGGTGGCAGCAACCCAACAATGGGTTGTTCGATTCGTCTGAAAATTTCAGGGCAGATAGATCTTGACCAATACAACGATTTTACCCCTGTCACATTTGCTCTAAAAGATTTAGTTTTTGAGATATAAGCCAAAAACTGCATTTGACCCTTATGTTCTATTTTTAGCCATGGCGGCCATGTTTGTCGATGGATACAAACTTCGGATACACTTTATAAACAAGATACCTTAAGGAACATTTACTTAAAGTTTGAAGGTAATTGGCCCAGTAGTTTCAGAGGAGAAGATTTTTAAATGTTAGCAAACTTGATGAACAAATTGTGTAAAATTGTCTTTAAAGGGCAATAACTCCTTAAGGGGTCAATTGACAATTATGGTGATATTAACTTTTTTGTAGATCTTACTTCGCTGAACATTATTGCTGCTTACAGATTATATATATCTATAATAATATTCAAAATAATAACAAAAAACTGCAAAATTATGTTAAAACTACCAATTCGGTGGCAGCAACCCAACAATGGGTTGTTCGATTCGTCTGAAAATTTCAGGGCAGATAGATCTTGACCAATTAAACGATTTTACCCTGTCACATTTGCTCTAAAAGATTTAGTTTTTGAGATATAAGCCAAAAACTGCATTTGACCCCTATGTTCTATTTTTAGCCATGGCGGCCATGTTTGTCGATGGATCAAAACTTCGGATACAATTTATAAACTAGATACCCTAAGGAACATTTAGTTAAAGTTTGAAGGTATTTGGCCCAGTAGTTTCAGAGGAGAAGATTTTTTAAATAGTTTACGACGACAGACGACGGACGACGACGGACGCCAAGTGATGGCATAAGCTCACATGGGGCCCTTTTGGACCCGGTGAGCTAAAAAGTTTGTG